TGAACTCTTGCTTTAATTTTAAAATGTGAGGCTTCTTCTTTCAATCAAAAAATCCAGTTGAGGTCCCTCTCAACTGTTGAAGCCCCTTTGATCTGTGAGTTCCCCTTTAATTAAAGAACCCCTTATGATACCCTATTTGTAGATAGTATGGGATTACTTCATTTTGTGCTTTTCCATTCATCTGGCATGTTTCCCTTTAAAGATACATTACACAGATTTTTCAAAAAGAAAATTATTGAGGTATTGTGAGCATATAATAATTTCTGCATACAAATACATTTTGTATCACTATATGAAATCACTATACTATAAGATAATAAAGTAGTTATTGCTTTTCTAAAGTTTCTGTCAGTATCCCCTCATATGATTATATTCACTAATTTGGGAAATACACACTGACACTAGTTATGCTTTCTGGATGAGTTTCCCTGGCATTTTTCCCTTAGAAAATATGATAATAAGGAAAAAAGCAGGAAATATGCTTGAGTCACCCAAGAGAAAGCAAGTTTGAAAACATGAGATGATATCTGACACTGGCCTTGGGTCTCAAACATAAGTATCACAACCTACAACAGTAAAGAGCCTGACAATGTATGCACATTGGTTCAATAGTGCTGTGAATGTTATAGGAATGACTAAATACTTCTTATAGGATTTAAGGCCCACTCCCAAAAACTTGAAATTATATCTGGTTCCAAGAACCAGACCAGGAACCTATGACATGGTAGATCATAAGTCCTAGGAGATAATTTATCACTATTATTCTGTTAAGCGAACATTGTATTAAACAACCCCTTAAGAATTTAAAATTTATACTATATATCATTGCATTTCTTCAGCTAAATCAAAACTCTGATTTATGGGGGTGTTGAAAAATATAGAGACCTAAAACTAGCCCACATTTAGATAGTAGGAAGCCCTGAAGTCCTCAGTATAAATGGGACATTTCACCCATTCCTTCACTTTCTAAGATTTGGGGATCAATAATAGAAGAGAAGTAAAAAGAGATTTAGGAGGCAGAACGGAGGGATGATGTCAGTGAGATAGTGTTTTCCAGGCATGACAAGGCAGCAACACTCGTGAACTCTCAGCATCTGTGACTACATGAACAAGTCCACACTAGCCAACATCCCAGCATAGGATGTCTAACTCAAGAACTCACAGCATCTGTAACTGCATTCACAGGATTATATGAGCCAACAACCTAGCATGGGATGTCTCAATCATGAAATCACAGCAACTGCAACTGCATGCACAAGATCATACAAGACTGAGGAGCCACTGGCTTGTCATCGGGATTATTTATCTCTAGTGCATCTACTGTTTTTTTTTTTTTTTTGGATCCTATCGTCTTTGGATGTACACTTTGCTCAGCCTAGATATGGTAGGGTGGGCCTTGGACCTTTCACAAGCCAATGTGCCTTAACCTCTCTGAGGATTAAATGGGGGTAGGGTAGGAGGGTGTGTGGAGGTAATGGGAGTAGGGAAGTGTGTAGAAACTTGGATTGGTAGTTTTTTTAAAAAAAAATATCTAATAAATTTAAACAAACTAAATAAGTGAAGGACTCCACCAGTTCTTAGTTGGATGGGAAGATGGTCCTAGATGAAGTTGCCTACCAAGTTATTTGATATTTACGAGTGTTCTTAAATCATTTGCTTTATGAATTTATTGTTTTGAGCCTCAGTTATATAGTTTATATTTTTTTCATGTATTCTTTAGGATCCCTATGTATGATATTATTTCATTCAGTTCCCCTCAAATCTGGCAAGCATGGGGGCCATATCAACCTTATACTATTTAAGCACCGTAAGTGCTGCCTATATGTGCATGTGTGTGAACCCATGGACTGCAATATTGGAAGCATTCCAGTGACCGTACCCCTTAAAACGAGGGACAATATTTCCTTATCATGAAAATACTTTGCCATCTGCTTCTCTTTAGGAAGTAGGGCCCATTTTCTCCCCGGCAATTTGCTCTACTTCCCTTAGCCAAGAGGATAACTATATGTTTTTCCTTGGGTTCACCTTCTTATTTAGCTTCTTTAGGTTCACCAAATGTAGACTCCGTGGTCTTTATTTATAGCTAGAAACCAATTATGAGTAAGTACATCCCATATTCATCTTTTTGGGTCTGGGACACCTCACTCAGGATAGTGTTTTCTATTTCCATCGATTCGCATGCAAAATTTGAGAAGTCATTGTTTTTTACCACAGCATAGTACTCTAGCGTGTATATATTCCATACTTTCTTCATCCATTCTTCCATTGAAGGGCATCTAGGTTGTTTCCAGGTTCTGGCTATTACAAATAATACTGCTATGAACATAGTTGAACAAAAGCTTTTGTCATATGATAGAGCATCTCTTGGGTATATTCCCAAGAGTGGTATTGCTGGGTCCAGGGGTAAGTTGATCCCGAATTTCCTGAGAAACCCAAACACTGACTTCCACAGTGGTTGCACAAGATTGCATTCCCACCAGCAATGGATGAGGGTACCCGTTCCTCCACAGCCTCTCCAGCAAAGGTTATCCTTGGTGTTTTTGACTTTAGCCATTCTGACAGGTGTAAGATGATATCTCAAAGTTGTTTTGATTTGCATTTCCCTGATTGCTAAGGAAGTTGAGCACGACCTTAAGTGTCTTTTGGCCATTTGAACTTCTTCTGTTGAGAATTCTCTGTTCAGTTCAGTGCCCCATTTTTTAATTGGGTTAATTAGCATTTTAAAGTCTAGTTTCTTGAGTTCTCTATATATTTTGGAGATCAGACCTTTGTCTTATGTGGGGTGGGTGAAGATCTTCTCCTAGTCAGTAGGTTGCCTTTGTGTCTTAGTGACCATGTCCTTTGCTTTACAGAAGCTTCTCAGTTTAAGTGGGGTGGGATGGGGGTAAGGGAAGATGGGGAGAGAAAAGGTAGAAGGGAAGGAGGGGGACCTGGGAAAACAGGAGAATTGGGATAAAGGAAAGGTGGATAGGGGAGCACGGAACCACAATTCATAGTTAAGGGAGCCACTTTAGGGTGGGCAAGAGACTTGACCCTAGAGTGGCTCCCAAGTGCCCAAGATGAGGTTCCCAGTTAGTTCCTTGGGCAGCTGAGGATTGGGAACCTGAAATGACCCTATCCTAGAGCAATACTGACGAATATCTTGCATATCATCATAGAATCTTCATCTGGTGATGGATGGAGATAGAGACAGAGACCCAGACAGGAGCACTGGACTGAGCTCCCAAGGTCCCAATGAGGAGCAGAAGGAGGGATAACATGAGCAAAGAAGTCGGGACCACGAGGTGTGCATCCACCCACTGAGACAGTGGAGCTGATCTACGGGGAGCTCACCAAGGCCAGCTGGACTGTGACCGAAAAAGCATGGGATAAAACCGGACTCTCTGAACATGGCGAACAATGAGGGCTGATGAGACACCAAGGACAATGGCAGGGGGTTTTGATCCTACTTAATGTGCTGGCTTTGTGGGAGCCTAGCCAGTTTGGATGTTCACCTTCCTAGATATGGACGGAGGGGGGAGGACCTAGGACTTACCACAGGGCAGGGAACCCGGACTGCTCTGTGAACTGGAGAGGGAGGGGGAGAGGAGTGGGGGGAGGGGGAGAAGGTTGGGAGGAGGGAAAAATAAAGAAAAAAAAGAAGTAGGGCCAAGGAATTATCAGCTCATTCTATACCAGGGTTTTGGCTGGCTTGGCCCTTGCTAGGATTTTGCAGATAACAGATGCCAATATGAGTCCGTGATTGTAATATCCATGACATGTCCAGAAGACAGCATTTCACAGCACCCCTCCCTGTGCTCCACTCCTTACATTCCTCCCTCATCTTCTTCATCAGTGTTCTCTGAGCCTTGGAGTAAGTTGAATTGACACTGGAAATCTTACATCACACAACATATTGAACATTGGGAAGGACATTTTCTGCCTCATTCAAAATCCATATTGTGTGTTTGAGACTCTGTGTATGTGGTTTTCTGACTTCTGTTTTGTAGGCTCGGAACTAGAATGGACGTCAAGACAGGAAAAGACATTTTAAGTGAGGGACAAGAGGGAAGGAAATGACACAGGCAGGGTAAGACAGAGGTTTTAAATGAAATGTTGTGTGTAGTGAGAGAAAGGGGATGAGTGAGTAGAAAGCATGAGAATTCAGGAAAATCAAAACAGAGTCTTCTGACAATACCAAACTGATGCCAAAGTTCTGTGTTTTGTTATAAAAATTTATTAGGTGTTCCCATTATGCTGATATAAATATGCAGAAACAGAAACTGACGTAAGACAACATGAAGACAGCCATGTGTTGCCTGGGATCAGGTTGGGAAAATGAAAGGCACAGTGGGAAGTAGAAAGTGACCATAGAAAAAATTTCAGGATGCAAAAGATTACATGCTGTAAATATAAATATATCACTGATAGGAAGAAAGACAACCACAAGGAAGGTCTCATTTGGAAACTTCCTGGGGTCATAGGACAACATTTTCAAAACTGAGGAAAAATGAAAAAAGTCTCAAGTGTTCCTGTCACAGAGAAGGAGTTTCACTTAGAGACTGGTGTCACCCTATCCAAATTCCACCTCAGGAAGAAGTCATGTCCAGCAGAGACAAAGAGATAGACAGAGATAATATCTAGAAACACAGAAATGTGGAGCTTTTCAATTTCACATTGACCCTAAAGAGACATGACAGCGTGGAAACACAACATTTTCTATGCATATGGTGGAAAGGGAACTAAGTAGAGTGTGGTGAATCCCTAAGAAGGAAAATGTGTACACGGAATTATGTTAATGCTTCAATTTCTATAACTTTTATCAGTGTGTATGATGACTTATATCTCCTCTGAGTACTGTGTTCTGCCCAGGTCCAAGTACAGAGCCTTCTGTAGCAGGAAGATATGCAAATTAGTCTTCTTTGTGCCCTTAAAAACTAGGCACGCCCTGACCCTGCAGCTCTGGCTGAGGAGACCAACCCTGGATTCCCAAGTGCCAGTCAGGGTTCAGAGCTGAACACAGGCCACTCACCATGGACTTAGGGCTTATACTGGTTTTCTCTGTCCTTATTTTAAAAGGTAAAATTCATAAAGATGAGATACTGTGTGTTTTGTGTACACGAGAAAGAGAAAAAATGTCTTTTGTGTCAGTTTTCTAACCAGAATCCTTTGTGTTTACAGGTGTCCAGTGTGAAGTGCAGTTGCTGGAGTCTGGGGGAGGCTTAGTGCAACCCGAAAAGTCCCTGAAACTCTCATGTGCAGCTTCTGGATTCACCTTTGATGACTATGCAATGAGCTGGGTCCGGCAGGCTCCAGGGAAGGGGCTGGAGTGGGTCGCATTGATTAGTTATGATGGTGGTACCATCAGGTATACTGATGCTGTGAAGGGCCGGTTCACAATCTCCAGAGACAATGCCAAGAACACTCTGTACCTGGAAATGAGCCATCTGAGGTCAGAGGACACAGCCATGTATTACTGTGCAAGAGACACACTGAGTGAATGTTACTGTGAACTCAGGCAAAAACACCCCTGTGGTTAACACAGGACCAGCAGGCGGCGCTGAGAGCACTTGGAAATCTGGGTCACAGAAGAGCCTGCTCAGAGAAGCAATGGAAGACTGGACTTCTCAGTGTCTGCACAGCCCCTTCATATCCCATTTATGGATTTTCTCTACAGGTATAGTGTGTAGTAATCCTTGAGTCCAAATGTTTATTAAATTTTTGTTTCCTGTTGTAATGTGTGTGTTTATTTCTTATACTGTTTCTCCCTGTTAACCCTTTATCTCTCTAACTATTTCTGTTTCAGTCTTTTTCGCTCTTCCTCTTTCTTTCTCACTACTCTCCGTGTGTGTGTGTGTGTGTGTGTGTGTGTGTGTGTGTGTGTTGACATATGAAAAATTTCTCTAAATCTCTGCACCACTTGTATTGAGACAAATTCTATCAGTTGGCCTGGATCTCAACGAATGGATAGTCTAGTGAGTCCCAGTGATTGTTCAGTCTCCACATTCCCTATACTTTATACCCGGTTGACTGTCACACCCATTTCTTTCTTTCTTTATTTTGTTAGTTATGGAATCTGAGTTCTGTATTCAGAACCAGTTGAAGAGATCTTGTGTGTTAAAAACTTGATTTTCACAACCCCATTATTGTTTCTTTTAAATTTAGGAAGTGCTTTTATCTGAACAAAATACATATCATCGCACTGAGCTAAATCGATCCTGTCTTTTGACCTGCATGGGTTCCTGAGGAAGCCACAGAAGATTGTAAACCCTAGAAGACACAGGCAGCTCAGAACCACATGTGAGCCTAGACAACTTTGTGCCATCTCTATGCCTCCATGAGCACTACACTACCCACATAGAAGCTTAACCCCTAATTAAAACAGTATATTTGTAAAAAAGTTCTCATCCAATTCTGTGATTTAGCCCAATGGTCTAGTTCTTGTGTAGTTTATATGAGACCTTGATTCAAATGGTAATTTATAATAATTATATTTCTCATATTGAATAATAAATACTGTAGTTGCAACCTGACTACTCTCTATTAAGAGTCATAACATGGTTTCTGTCATATAACAGAACAGTTAATTTTTTTCCAAGAAAAACTCCTTTTTCTCACTTCTCTAAGTTCTGAGTCAGGAGGTTAACAGATAGCTCTAGGAACCCAGAGTGGAGAGGTGATATTCTCATGAGACACATTGTTCTGCCCTCCATGCTCTGACTGAGATGCTTTACCTTGACCTGTGCATAAGGGCAGAAGAGATAGCATAAAGCTAACATTTCTAAGAACCACAGAAATGGATTTTAAACTCAAAAGAATTAGTTGCCTGCAACTAAAGATATGAGTGTCATTTACCCAAGGAAAGAACGAGACCAAGCTTTCTGAGAATGGAGGAGAAGGAATGCCTGTGCTGTGGAAATGGGAATGTGGTTCTACTGAGACATTATGAAAACTGTGGGGTCCTTTAGAGAATTACACAAGACAATGTGATCCTGCAATCTCACCTACCAATGAGCAGAAAAAGCAGCAGAGATAGTACCAAAAAGCAGGAAAGGAGGCAGGAGATATAGAAGAGACGTGAGAGTAGGAGAGGCCAGAAGGGTCAAAGGAGTGAGAGAAAGAGGACAGAGGATAGTGGAATGAATCAATGTAGTCACAGTACATTATAAATGAGTGCAGTGATTTGTTTTTGTAGCAGAATGAATAACATAGATGGGGAAAGAAAATTTTCAAATAGATGGGATGTTAATATACAGATACCCATCTGCCCTTGTAAGTGTGATTGTGGAAAAGATTGTCTCTGTTGTTGTATATCTTTCTGTGTGTATATGTCTGTGTGTTTGAGTGATGGCTTCAGCGATGCATACTTTATCATCATCTACAGATAGTTTTCAATATAGGGGTTACCACAACATCATCAGACCACAGAAACCTGCTCTGAGGTCAGGTGAATAGTAAGGCTGGGATTATTGGTTTGAATTCAGGCTCAGGGCCTCTGTTAACATGAGCAAGTCCCTGAAGACCTTCCAGTTCCCATTAAAACAATGACATCTTGAATTTTGCATGCAAATGGATGGAAATAGAAAACACTATCCTGAGTGAGGTAACCCAGACCCAAAAAGATGAACATGGGATGTACTCACTCATAATTGGTTTCTAGTCATAAATAAAGGACATTGAGCCTATAATTCGTGATCCTAGAGAAGCTAAATAAGAAGGTGAACCCGAAGAAAAACATATAGTTATCCTCCTGGATATTAGAAGTAGACAAGATTGCCGGGCAAAAACTGGGAACTTGGGGGTGGGTGAGATGGGGATAAGGGAAAATGGGGTAAGAAAATTGAGAAGGGGAGGATGGGGAGAGCTTGGGGGAATGGGATGGTTGGATAAAGAAAGGATGGATATGGGAGCAGGGAAGTATATATCTTAATTAAGGGAGCCATTTTAGGGTTTGCAAAAGACTCTACTCTAGAGGGGTTCCCAGGTGTCCAGGGAGATGTCCTCAGCTAGTTCCTTGGGCAGCTGAGGAGAGAGAGCCTAAAATAGCTCTATCCTATAGCCATACTGATGAATATCTTGCATATCACCATAGAACCTTGATCTGGCATTGGATGTAGATAGAGACAGAGACCCACATTGGAGCACCAGACTGAGCTCCCAAAGTCCAAATGAGGAGCAGAAGGAGGGAGAACATGAGCAAGGAATTTAGGACCGTGAGGGGTTCACTCACCCACTATGACAGTGGGACTGATCTAATGGGAGCTCATGGAGGCCAGTTGGATTGGGACTGATGGAGCATGTGATCAACTTGATCATAATGAATATTTTTTTATTATTATTAAAAATTTTATTAAAAATTTTCACTTCCTCCCCTCCTCCCATTTTTCTCCCATTCCCCCCACACCGCTCTCCCTCCTTCTCCAGTACAAAGAGCAGTCAGAGTTCCCTGCCCTGTGAGAAGTCCAAGGTCCTCCCCCCTCCATCCAGGTCTAAGAAGGTGAGCATCCAAACAGACTAGGCTCCCACAAAGCCAGTACATGCTGTAGGATCAAAACCCAGTGCCATTGTCCTTGGCTTCTCAGTCAGCCCTCATTGACCACCATATTCAGAGAGTCCGGTTGATCACATGCTCCATCATTCCCAATCCAACTGGCCTCCATGAGCTCCCAATAGATTAGCCCCACAGTCTCAGTGGGTGGGTGCACCCCTCGCGGTCCTGACTTCCTTGCTCATGTTCTCCCTTCTTTTGCTCCTCATTTGAACCTTGGGAGCTCAGTCCGGTGCTCCAATGTGGGTCTCTGTCTCTATCTCCATTCATTGTCAGGTGAAGGCTCTATGGTGATACGCAAGATATTCATCAGTTTAGCTATATGATAGGGCCATTTCAAGTTCCCTCTCTTCAGCTGTCCAAGGAACTAGCTGGGGACATCTCCTTGGACACCTGGGAACCTCTCTAGAGTCAAGTCTCTTGCAAACCCTAAAATGGCTCCCTTAATTAAGATATATACTTCCCTGCTCCCATATCGACCCTTCCTCCATCCCAAACATCCCATTCCCCCAAGCTCTCCCCATCTTCCCCTTCTCACTTTTCTCTCCCCATCTTTCCTTATCCACACCTCACCCCCACCCCGAAGCTCTCAATATTTGCCTGGCAACCATGTCTACTTCCGTTATCCAGGAGAATAACTATATGTTTTTCTTTGGGTTCACCTTCTTATTTAGCTTCTCTAGGATCACGAATTATAGGCTCAATGTCCTTTATTTATGGCTAGAATCCAGTAATGAGTGAGTACATACCATTTTCATTATTTTGGGTCTGGGTTACCTCACTCAGGATAGTGTTTTCTATTTCCATCCATTTGCATGCAAAATTCAAGATGTCATTGTTTCTTACCGCGGAGTAGTACTCTAATGCATATATATTCCAGTTTCTTCGTCCATTCTTCCATTGAGTGGCATCTAGGTTGTTTCCAGCTTCTGACTATTTCAAATAATGCTGCTATGAACATAGTTGAACAAATACTTTGGTAATATGATAGGGTATTTCTTGGGTATATTCCCAAGAGTGGTATTGCTGGATCCTGGGGTAGGTTGATCCCGAATTTCCTAAGAAACTGCCGTGCTGATTTCCAAAGTGGTTGCACAAGTTTGAATTCCCACCAGCAATGGATGAGTGTACCCCTTACTCCACATCCTCTCCTACAAAGGCTATCATTGATATGTTTGATTTTAGCCATTCTGTCAGGTGTAAGATGGTATCTCAAAGTTGTATTGATTTTCATTTTCCTGATAGCTAAGGAGTTCGAGCAGGACCTTAAGTGTCTTTTGGCCATTTGAACTTCTTCTGTTGAGAATTCTCTGTTCAGTTCAACTCCCCACTTTTTAATTGGGTTAATTAGGATTTTAAAGTCTAGTTTCTTGTGTTCTTTATATATTTTGGAGATCAGGCCTTTGTCTGTTGTGGTGTTGGTGAAATTTTTTTTATGTGTTCTTAGATTCAGTTTGCCAGTATTTTATTGAGGATTTTTGCATCCATGTTCATGTGTGAGATTTTTCTGTAATTCTCTTTCTTGGTTGAGTCTTTGTGTGGTTTTGGTATCAGGGTAACTGTAGCTTCATAAAAAGAGTTTGGCAATGACTTCTGTTTCAATTATGTAAAACACATTAAGGAATATAGGTATCAGCTCTTTCTTAGATGTTCTGGTAAAATTCTGCATTAAAACCATCTGGTCCTGGGCTTTTTTTGGTTGGGAGATTTTGATGACAGCTTCTATTTCCTCACAACTTATAGGTCCATTTAGATTGTTCACATGGTCTTGATTCAATTTTTTATATATTATTTATCTAAAAACAAGTCCATTTCTTTTACATTTTCCAACTTTGTGGCATATAGGCTTTTGTAGTAAGACCTAATGATTCTCTGAATTTCCTTAGTGTCTGTTGTTATGTCCCCTTTTCATTTGCATGTTCTCTCTCTGCCTTTTGATTAGTTTGTATAGGGGTTGGTCTACCCACTGAGATAGTGTGCCTGATTTAATGGGAGCTCTCTTTGGTGTGTTCTGGGTAAGGTTGCCGACTTCTCCCCCCTTTCCCCAGCCTTCAGCCCTCGGCTAGAACTTGTTTTGGTCCGCGCCTGGAAGTTTTGTGCTTCCAGCTCTCACCCCTCTTTTTCTGATCTTTTTCTGTCCTCTTTACGGGCCCACTATTCCTGATGCATGGAGTGAATTCCTTTATTTCCTCCAATGCTTTTCCTGCACATTAGTCCCTGGTTATTCTGTTCCGTATATCACCAATCACAACCTGAATATTGATGTCTATGCTGAAACCATGAGAAGCAGAATCAAAACTGGAATTCATTAGAGAGGGTTTTGTTTAGACTTGACCCCAAGTCAAACTGTCAATTAGTGAAGTATGCATGTATGATGGTGTCCTGACCTGTGTGAAACAAATTAGGGTCCCTGGTAACCTGAAAGAGAAAGGAATGGAGGGGAAAGAGACAGAAGTGGGCAGCAAGTCTGTATTTCTGATCAAGCTGCCACCTTTTTTTTTCCTCAGGGGCTTTTATAGATCAAACAAGCAGGGGAAGGTTAGGATGTTGGAATGTCAGGTCTGGAGGCAGCTTTAGCTGGCAGAAAGAGATTAAGGAGATACTGAGGGTAGGTGACCTTTAACTAACAAAGGGAAGTTTAATTAATCTTGAAGACTGGGTTCTGCGGTTCTCACAGGGAGATAAGAAGAGAAAAGGTTCCTTCCTAGGTCTGGAACTTGCCCTACAGAGCCTTCTGAATAGCTTACTTAACTTGTGAACTTAAGATGGCTATAACCAAAATACAGATCTTTGCTTCTGGCATGATGGTAAGGGCATCACTCTGCAAGTACTCAGGACTGTGTAGGTGATCTCATACTCACTTTGAGTCCTTGCAGTTGGCCCATAACAAACCTCCTCCCATCACATTGTCACACAAATGTCCTGAGTAGTGTGAGCTACTTCAGTGTATAAAGAATGAATTGATTACATTAGAGAAATTGTATTGGATGCTTAAGGTCCTGTTAGTTTCATCAACATCACATGGTGAAGATGGAGCAGCATGTGATTGGTCCTCCCATAACAAAAAGCACTAAGGGAAATGAGAATATATCATAGGATTTTTAACATGGGAGAAAATCGGGAATTCTATGACTTTCAGTCAAATTAGTAATATGGTTTTTGATCCTACAGCATGTACTGGCTTTGTGGGAACCTAGGCAGTTTGGATGCTCACCTTACTAGACCTGGATGGAGGTGGGCGGTCCTTTGACTTCCCACAGGTCAGGGAACCCTGATTGCTCTTCGAGCTGATGAGGGAGGGGGACTTGATCAGGGGAGGGGGAGGGAATTGGTAGTCAGTGGCAGGGAGGAGGCAGAAATCCTTAATAAGTAAATAAAAAATAGTACAAGAGAATCCTGGGCACTGTCCAGTGCATATGCAGACTAACAGGAAAATGGTGGGTCAATAAAAAGGAAGATAATTACAGTCATAGATGTCTTTACAGTAACACTAAAGACCACATGCTCTTTTCTAGACTCACACATCAATAATATTGTGACAGTTATTTCATCTTGAAAGAACTTGGGGAGTCAATTTTCACCCACTGACTTGTAAAAAAATGCTGACTTCCTGCCTGAAAATTTATCTTCCAGTTCTGTTATATTCTTTCCTGGGCTATGGGATCTCATAGATCTCTCACAGAAATTACTGACCTAAGTGCAACAGGACTGTTGTCTATTGATGAGACTGGTGGGCCTTCTCCTGAAACTGTAATACCAGTATTCAGAAAAGTAAGAAGATATGTATTTTTAATTAGAGACATTTTACCCTGCAGAGGATATTGGCATCATAAGTCAGATTTCTCTTTGCTTGGTGATTCTTTCTGGATAGCTATCTTTTCTTCTTTAGGCATCTAGATGTCTGAGATCTCTTGATTTTACAAAGATGGTCATTGTTATTCTTTTGGTCCCCACCCCTTTCCACAACCACTCCCAGCAACCTCTGACCACTCTTCCCATCTGAAAACTCTCTTCCTCTTCCTGTCCCCCTCTGGTATGTGTACACATGTCTATCCCTGTCTCCCTTCTCTCTCTCTCTCTCTCTCTCTGTCTCTCTCTCTCTATTTCTCTCCCTCTCTCTCTCTCCCTCTCCCGTTTAATAAATGTTTATGCCTATTTTCTGTGTCTATGTGCCTTTTACCCACCGCCAGTTTACACTCACTGGCTTGGCTCTCCCAGACCCACCGCAGGCTGGCCCTGCCCGCTCACTGCATGGTGGGGCTGCCTGGCAACCCTGGATGGGCCACCTCTTGTAAACTGCCCAGGGATCTGGCAGGGACCCACAACCATCTCTGCTGGGCTGGCAGTTGCTCTGCAAACATTTTAAAAATATAATTAGTGCCGTGTGACTCCTGAACGGGGTTCTTTTTCCACTTCCACCACCAGCTTCCCGGATGGCTTCCATCAGTGAGTTTCTCTCTGTTCTGCTATGGTTGCTTTCATTCTGCTATGGTTGCTTTCCTTTGCCAGATTCGTGTGGATCGGTCCCGGAGACAGTCTGCCCGTGCATTAGCACTGCACACTTCCCGTACAATGCATTCGACTGGGGACCTGGTCCTGAATTTCTTTATCTTTTTTTTTTCTGTTTCCTCTCTTTCCTCTTTCTCTTCTCTCGATGGTAATGGTTAATTGCTGCTCAGAGCAGTGCCCCCAGCCTCCCTGGTTTCTGGGTTGCCAGGATCCTGCTAGGCCATAGCACCCCACCTGCGGACAAAGGACACTTTTCCACGTGGTTTGGGTGTTCGTTCTCAGGGTTTTCACGATTTTCGCTCTGGGTAGCAACTGGCTCCCTGGCTTTCTCAATTCCAGCCATGGCATGGTTCAGTTTTTTCTGTTCCAGCCTTTTGCCCCTCCCCTCTGTGGCTTTTGTTATGTCATGGCAGCTCAGCAACAGAGCAGATCACGCCTTTAGGTTCCTATCATTAAACTTAAAGTCCTTACAGCTCAAAAATTGTAACTTTTTCCCCAAAACACGTGGCTGTCGCAATCTTGGCTGAGAGCCAGGTGGGTCAGGTGACTTTGTCGCCATCTTGGTTGTGGGTCAGGTGACTTTTTTCAACATCTAGGCTGAAAGCCAGGTCACGTGACCAAGCTCTCCCAGATTTACTTATGTACACCCTACCTTTCCCCTGGTTTTCACTAAAATCCTCTTGTTATCTCTGTTACGTGTGTTTTGCGCAATGGCATGCCTTTGATAGGGCCCATCAAAGGCATCCACGTTGCCCAATTCCTGTTCACTCTTTCTGTGTATAATAATTGTTCATTACGTATCATTTCAGATTGCAAAATCATAAGTCTCATATTTTAAACTGGTATGTACTTTTAAGTCTCTTATAAAAACTTATATTTGATATTAAGCCATTCTCTACCATTGTCAGTTCTACCACTAACCTTGTATTACAAGCAGGTTTTTTTCCTTCTTTCTGTCTTTTTACAAATGTAAATCTTACCTGTTAAGTTGAGAGCCAGTGCAGTCAAGCTCAGAACCAGCTCTCCAAACAAAGTCTATACTATAATTTTACGTGATAAACAGCCCTCAACTGCTCAGAGATCTGGGGAATGTGATATTAAGTATTTAATTATTAAAAACTTTTCACAACAAAAAAGAGACAGGTTGGCTCCTAGCAGCAGTTCTCTGCTCCCTCCAAAAAAGACAGAACACAGATGTGCACAGAACAGTGTCCTTCTGCAGTTCGCTTTGACTGCCAAGCACTGACCATTGGGAAAAACTTCCTTTCGTCTAAAGACCTCTAGACGTGGATGAAATCACTGGAATCAACGACCTAACTGCTGAAGTCAAGGTAGGCCTGTCTTCCTACAGATTTCTTAGCCCACAGGATCTTCTGGAGACTGGCAGGCCTGCGCTAACCAGCAAAGTTCAAGTGCAACCCTCAGCAACCATAGAAGATCCAAAAGAGTAGCTCTGGGTGCCAACCAAGTAAGTTCTCTGTCATTTTATAATCAGTAACTCAAGTAAAATCTTATCCTTCTCAAAGATCTCTGACAGTTTGATAGCTGAAAGGTTTTGCTAGGTTGAGGTTTTGCCAGGTTACCTCACCAAACAAATTCCAAATAAAATTTATCTCTTATGCTACAGTCATTATATGTCTAAACCTTCTGCTTTCACAAACCCAAGGAGATCTTATGAGTTCCAGGGAACCTAATTAAAGGATCTTAAACAGGTCAGATACATCACCCTAAATTCCCTAGTTCAAATTTTTTTTCTTTAATTTAACTTTGTTCTTTGTTCTGCCAATACCTGAAATGGGATAAGAGACATCAGACATTTCCGTGCCACAGACACTGGTCAGAAGCAAAGAGACCAGCTATGTCAGGATGTGACCAGCACCCAAAGATAATGCCCACAATCAGCCAGAAGCAGTCTTGAGAATTCGCTGCCCCAATTCCTTCAAACTGTGGTGTCTAATCTGCTTTTTATTGTAAGAAAGATAGGGGAATGTTATTCTTTTGGTCCCCGCCCCTTTCCACAACCACTCCCAGCGACCTCTGACCACTCGTCCCATCTGAAATCTCTCTCTCTTCCTATCCCCCTCTCGTGTGTACACACATGTCTATCCCTTTCTTCCTTTTATTCTCTCTCTCTCTCTCTCTCTCTCTCTCTCTCTCTATCCTCTCTGTCTCTCTGTCCCTTCATCTCTCCCTCTTTCCTTTAATAAATTTTTATGCCTATTTTCTGTGTCTATGTGCCTTTTTCCCGCCGCCGATTTACACTCACCCACTTGGCTCTCCCAGACCTGCCGCAGGCTGGCCTCCCTGCTCGCCATGTGGTGGGGCCTCCTGCATGCCCAGGATGGGCCACTGCTTGTAAACTACCCAGGGATCTTGCAGGGAACCACAGCTATCTCGGCCGGGCTGGCAGCTGCTCCACAAACATTTTAAGAATAAAAGTCATTTTCCTGCAAAGACAAGAAAAGAACCCTGCCCCAACTCTTATGACCTTTTCTTACATTGTGTAGTATTGTCATCTCTGTGGATGAGCTGTCATTTAACGTTTATCAAGAGGTTTCTCCTTCGCCAACAGAGCATATCTGCTGGTTTTCATTCTGAGGTCAATACTTCCTTGAAATATTCTGACTTATTTAACACACAAATTTTCTATGTTATTTAAAGTCTTTATGCAGCTGCTATACTATTCTCATTAGCATTAAAAATTCAAGGTTAATAGAGCATTATGCAACCTATTTTGGCAGTGTTTCTTGTAATGGCGTAAACAAATGCAGACAGATTGTAAATATATATATATATATATATATATATATATACACATATATAGCTTTAATGTAGAAATAGACTTACAGAACCACCGTTCCCGCGGAGACCAGGAAAGCAGAAGCGATGTCTGGGAGCACGCTCGCCAAATTTATAGGCAAACATTAGCCCGAGGCGAACACGCCACTCGAGGGGCGGGACTTAACACTACATCTCCCCTTTTTGTCTAAATAAGACAGAACCAAACCAAATACAACTATATACAATAACAACAAATAATAAATATAACAAACAATATTGAGAACAAAAGCTTTGCTAAACATTCTATCTCAAGGAGTCCAAATAATGTAGCGAGTAACTACAATTATATAATCTTCAACTCCATCAAAGATCTGAGAAGGGAATGAACACTACTCAACAAACGAGATATATCCAAAATGTGCAACAATTGACAGAGACAACTGACTACCTGGGCAATCACCCAAAGTCTCATTTGCAATGTTGAGTCAACCAATTTTGGCTAAGGCCTAACATAACTGACATACCATTATTAAAGGCAAGGAACTTTTCAAAACTATCTTACCCTGTCTTGGCAGGATATGACAGTCCTGTTTTATCCATTGATGCACACTCTGTATCTGTCAGTGGTTGAGGTATGGGCATTTCTTTGCCCAAAGGCCAGTTCTGCCAAATAGAAAGACTCCAGGTGGAGTGTCTTTGGTGCTCAACATTCTCTTGGGAATAGAGCAGTGTTGCCAGGAGCAATTGTGTCTCACTATCACGAAACTCTGAGTTAGATTAAAGGCCATTTTCTACAGCTCTTTGAAGAGGTTGAAGATTATCTATCTGTACTGAGTATAATTTCTATATATCTAGAGAACCTGATTAGTCTAATTATAAATGACAAACTCAGATGACTATTTATATAATTGTCAATATCTATCTAACTTAAAGACTAAGACAATAAACAACAGTGTAACAAATGAGGATAATGACCTCCAAATATAAACACTGTACAAATATACATTGCAATATGGTAAATATATATCAATACACAAACATTATATAAGTATCTTAATCAGAGGTAGAAATGTACACTGCAATATGGTAAATATATACAATATATATTATCAATACAATATATGTCAATACATAAAAAATGTTTTAAACGGAGATAGAAACATGCATGCATACAATAGTCAATATAATTTAACTTTGTATCAATATACAAAATGGATACCAATATATTTGTCTAAAAGCAGTAACTCACAATTACAAATCTATTATCCCATCATTCCCACTTTTTTTTTCAAAATGATCCCTGAGCTTATAAAATTCTTCCCCCATCTCCCAACCCCTAAATGATGTCCCTAAACCAGGGGCAAACTTTACTGGGAGAGGGGACGTCGTCCTCTAAAACTACTTCCAGCTGTCATGGGGACGACGTTCTTTCTGGGGGATCCTGTGAAAGTAAAATGATGGTTAAATTTCAAGATCAATGTCTACACCAGAAAATGGAAAGATCTTCCTTGCTCCTGGATTGGGAGGATCAACATAGTAAAAATGGCAATTCTACCAAAAGCAATCTATAGATTCAATGCAATCCCCATCAAGATCCCATCAAAATTCTTCACAGTCTCTGAGTATTTTGTGGAGGTCTGGCCAGAATGTTGTACAAGATGTGCACCATTTCAGCTAACCAAGTTGGGATCGTCTTGTGCAGCTGGTATCCAAAACAGGTCTTGTAGTAGCGCTATCAGTATCATGATGTCATATCAACCAGGTAGAGATGTTGTTGTGGGGCCCCATTTTCTTCCTGGAAACTTCAAATGTCACTTCAGGAAAAACTCATTGTTCATTGTGAAAAACTTAAACATTAATCATATAGACATACATATATATTATCAATGAAAGGCATGATAGATATATTCAATGAAAAGTATGATAGATATGGAAAAAAGCAAAGATGTTTTCTAAACTCATATTTCTTTCTGTCCATTATCATGGCTCTTATATATAATATATATAATTTATATATATAATATATAATTTATATATAAATTAATACTTACAAAAATGTGTCCATCCATCAGTAAT